TTTTCCGACATTATATATATTTATATATATACACACACACACACACATATACATATACATACATACATATATACATATAGTGTATTACACTATATGTATAATATATATATATATAATATATTATAGCAAATATATAGCATATATATATATGCAAAATTAGGTCAAACATTGCAGATGACTATTATTAGCAATGAGATTAATGAATATGGTATGACATATGCTATTGTACATACAAAGGAAATATGAGGATTATCAATCCCTCTAATACGAACCTGAGACAAATGTACATTTTCAATTCTGGGACACATCCTTTGAGAAATGCTATTTACGAGACGAGAACTGAAATTATAAGCAGCAGGCATAAAAAATATCTACTGTTTTCGAATGAGAACTTAAATTATCATATAAAACTATTTTAGAAGTCTATTTTAAAGAGAAAGAGAGAGGCGATCTATAATTCAGGCGATATTTTAGAACAGAATTTAACTTTAATTTTATTATATACACACACACATATATACAATAATATATTTGTCCTAATATTTATTTTTTATATGTGTGTATTGTTTCTTTTATATATATTTTATATTGTACAGAAAAAATATAACGAAAGTATAATACTTCAAATATCACGAATGAATTGTTTCCGTGCAAATAATAAATAAACAAACACACGTACAACTTTAATAAATAGATTAAATAAATCTTTATTGTGCATGGGTATAAAGAAGAAACAGTAATACAAGAATAAATATATTAGTAATGTAAAACTCTCTCTCTCTCTCTTCAGGAATAATACATTCCAACAACATGTTTTGACAAAAAAGAAAAAAAAATTCGACAGAAGGAAAAGGCACAGAGGGTTGGGTCTAAAGAGATTCTGAAATAAGCTGGAGGTAAAAAAGGTCAAGGCTATCGTCAAAATATCTTCGAAGAGCAATGTTTTTCACGATTGTATGAATTCGTTTTTGCAACGTAAATTCTTATCTATATGTCGGATGGAATTTTACAAACTGTCAATATCAATAAATCTATAATTCTTTAATCACTAAATTCACATGATAAACAGAAATCTTTATAATCATCTAACGTCTTCACTTTATCTCGGGATCACAGTCAAGTCACGTAGGTAAAGGATGTAAATTCCATGTTAGCCTTGTAAGGAGCATCCTAACATAGCACGCGAACTATTATTCGAGCTTTCATATCGTCCTTGCAATGTAAGAGAAGGGTCAGGGACAGCAAGCGTCTCACACAGAAAATGAAAAAGCACGATAAATAAAAAAATATTGATATATATATTTATTATAGATATATTTTGACAAGATGATTAACTAGTACTCTATGAAAATTAGATTAATTGAAGAAAAGTTTGTAAGAAAAGATGGAGAAATATGTGATATCTGTTTAGTTATTGCTAATTCAAGTCCGTCTATATCTTAGAATTCATACTTTAGAGATTATATTAACAATAAATAAATTATAATAAAATAATATAAAATTATCTTAATAATGTTTAATTAAGAATAATGTTTGCGATGAATCCAATGATTATATTTAAAACAATTGACGGCAAACTCTCCAAATTTAATTAAAATACAAATAATTAAAATAATTATTATATAATCAATTACAATTTTTTATATTAATAGTTACATATTTTGATTTATAAATTTCATAAATATTTTTAAAAAATTTAACAATGTGTACTAAAAATAATTAACGTTTATATATATTTCAAAATTTAAGTTTTGAATACAAGTTCTTTTTCTTTTTTATATAAAATAAGAAAAAAATAATTATAATAAATAAGAAAATAAATATTATAAAATATATCAATGTAATTTATTTATCATGTACCGGGGAAAAAGTATTATGGCAGGAAAAATCTCTCGAGACATCAAGGAAACATAACTTAGTTATTACTTGACCATCGCGAAAGGCAAGCATTAGAAGTTGTATGTGATGGCAGTAACCCCGTAATTCGCTAAAGCTCATCAATCACTTTACTATATACATCGTTGCGTCCTGGCACGGCACAGACGAAGAAGTATCTCGTAAATCGTACGCGTATTGCAAACTCCGGGTTCATTACGTGAGTATGGGCTATTACAACATAAATACACATAGCGTGAAAACATACTGGACACGTAGTAACTTACGATGACATTACGTTTTCAACACCGTTAAAAGCTGTCGTTAATTTTCCTGTTGACTATATAATAACATAGCTTTTAAAAAGGAAAAAAAAGGATAAGATATATAATATATTTTTTGAATTTATAATATATTGATTTATAATATATTTTGTGAATACATTTTGTTGAAATATAATAAAATATTAAAATATAATAAAAGAATTGAAAAATAGGTCATGGATTAAAAGTATCGAGATTAAATTATAAGATTTAAATAGATTTTCTTGTAATATTATAATTGCAAGTTTGGATCTTTATTGAGATTATGAGAGAGAACACATTTTATATTTTTCTCTTCTCTAAATAAACATTCTTATTTATTCTTATTTATAAAAAAATTGCTATGTTGAATTGCAATGCAATTTTACTCGACATATAATTGAAAATGGCGCGACGAAACGCATGCAAAAGTTGATACGAGAAGAGAGACATCTGTTATTGTATAATAACAAGTGAAAACTTCAACAACGTAACAATAAACCGACGGGCGTCCTTGTTCGCTGCATATTTCGCTTCGACTGCGTTGCAAGTGGCATCATGCAAAAAATCTATGTACATATATATAGTTTTATTTGCTGGTTTTGTTTTATGTTTTAAAAGATAAAAGATACACCTTGCGTACCATTTTCTTTTTTTAAAAACCATTCTGATTCGTAAAAGAGACAAAGGGCAAAAAACGTGATATGCACTCCTACATGCGCAATTTAGTCAATCAAAAGTACTGTGTGACCAATCGCGCATCGATTTCCTATCATTTCCCATATGGCATATATAGTATTACTTTCAACAATCCTTGACGCGTGGTGACTTTTGCAAAATAATCGTCTATGGTAAATCTCAGTCACAAAAATAGAAAATGGAGATATCACTAAATGGAAATACAAGAGAATACGCTCAATATTTTCAGAATAAAATGCTTGAGAGAGAAAAAGCAATACTTTTTTAGAAACTAAGCTTGCACAAGAAATTTTATCTGTTTTAAAAAAAAACCATATATATATACACACAAAATAAGATAATTATAATAATCATTAGTGTACAACTTAAACATGATCTCAAAGCAAAGCGTAAAATATTTCAAAAAGAAAAGTACACCGTATATTGTGTACATATAACTCGTTTCACGTTAAAGTAAAAGCGAAGATATTCTTGTCATTAGCAGGACACTCATTGTTTCCGACATAAACGAGAACGGAAAGCTCGTTCAACCACGAAGCGTGTAGTGGTGAGCCTCTCTTCATTTGCGCCAGCCAAACCAAGAATACCTTTCTCTTTGTCGTAGGATGAGCTCAATAATGTATTTCTCAAACACACATACACACGCAATTTATTTAAAGCGTATTTTCTCATTTGCATTTTCTGTTTCCTATCGCGCAAGACTGATAAAAATCATACGGAACTTTTATATTTTTTTCAATAATGGATGCTTTACCTATCAACAAATAGCGATTTGAAATATGATACCCGACACATATAATTAGTAACAATTACATAATATAGATTTTTTTATATAAAATTTAAGTCACGTGCTCTCTCCCTAACGTTTCATGGCGGTACGAATGCACGAGTGAATATTTTATTCAACCCTTTTACTGTGTTACGGTCTGCCTACGCAAATGTAGCATTCCGTGGAACGCTTAAATGGTTTTTTATTCCAAGCAGCAGACATATATAAAAATATATCACAAACATCAATTTTATATATTGTTAAAAAAAAAATTATTAATTGCTTTATTTGTAATTGCTTTATGAATTTACTAATATTTATTTAATTTTAGTGCAAAGTATCAGTGAAAAGTGCTTCATTTTACAGAGGAATGGAGCGAGAATTTTCCCTATCAGCTATTGATAGCAGCAGGAGTGGCTTTAGTTGTTCTGGTTCTCTTGGCGGCGGTGAGTTTCCAATGCTCTTCTACTTGGCGATGGTTGATAAACATGACTCGACATGAAAATCTCGAGGATACTGAGACTGATCAGACTCAACAGAATGCGATCCGAATCAGTCATTCTCTCCCAGATCTACAATCGGAACCGATCACTCATGAATATGTTCAGGAGCAGAAAGAGAATAAGAAGGTATTGTCGACAAAGTCGAATCAGTATGATAGCCTGCATTTCTAACATCCTACAGTTTTACGGTTGTCTCAATGTTAATATTTCGCTCCAGGTGTTGCGTCAAACCACTTTGCCCATCGTACCAATGAGACATCAAAGCTTCCAACGTCAGCTATCGCATCGCCTTGATTTGCCTAACATTAAGTTCAGCATTTGTAGCTTCGAAAATCGCAGCGATTCTAGCCTTGGTCTTATCAAGGTATTTAGATGATATTCCGTAAACTTGTTATAATAGATGTCGAAATGCAAACCGCAATGCATTGCCATTTGATTTCTTTTGAAACAAGTTTATCGTATAATATACAGAGTTTCGTTTTCTGTTCATCTTCGTTTTATTATTAGTGCTTAATCGATAATATATGAATATTTGAATAATGAAAATTAATTATTTTTACTTATAAAATATAATATTGATGTAAACTATTAATATCACAGCCGGAATTGTACAAAAAAGAGCTTGTGAGACAAGAGAGCGCGGAAAGTTCCAGTACAACAGAGATGGAATATGCCGGCAAACTACATTTCGCTCTGCGCTATGACAAGGAAATCGAAGGACTTGTTGTTAAAGTAAGTTAAACTAATATATTTAAAAGCTATCACAAAGGACTATTAAATTAAAATAAGACTGTAGTTAGACTATATATTATAAATAATATGATTAAATGTGTTTACTCGAATTGACACGACAATAAAAAAAGAACAATATATATTTAATTTAAGGATATAAAAAATATTAAACAAAATAGATTTAATTTTTAACGTTATGAAATTTTGACTAATTAATAAAAATGATAATAATTAGAAATTCTCATTCCCTGTGCATACGAATTAATAAGTTTGCATTTAAACTGGGTGTGCGAATTGAAAATATGTATCTAGGTTATATTCAGCACAAATGAGAGATATTGGATAACGATAATGAAGTATCAGAATATTGCATTTGTGATGGACACATATTCTCTGCTATACTACCATTAACCACATGGTAACGCGAATTAGGTGATGTCAGTTACATTAAGCTATTTCTGTACGTGGCGAATTCAAACGCATTAATATTAATTATATATATATATATATACAGGCCATGCTTCATAATATTATAGATAAATTTAAACATACGGTGCTATTAACGGACTTTCTTACATTTTCCGCGTATTCTTTGCATTACATAATTTTTATAGAAATACAACAATATTTTAAAATTGTCGCGCGTACGTTTATTTGTAAGAATCAGGTCTTGTACTCTGATTATATCATACTTACGATGACGTAAGAGGTTTCATTAATCAATCTTTTTTATTATTAATTATTAAATTTAGATGTGTAAGATAAAGATAGCATTTAATATTATTTTCATCTGTATCTTTCTCTGAAAACATAATATTATCATCTTATTTTATTCAATGTAGAATCCATCAGGTTTCATGATGTTTGATTCTTTGATGTTAGGTTTTGGAAGCTCGTGAATTGCCAATAAAAGATGTAACGGGTAGCAGTGATCCATATATCAAAGTGTATCTGTTGCCAGATAGAAAGAAAAAATTCCAGACAAAAGTACATCGAAAGAATTTGAACCCGATATTCAATGAAACGTTTATCTTTAGGTAAGACAATTTACGATGTAATGCATCTTGAAAGATATATTGTTAACGTTTAATTATCCTCACTAAATGACATAATTACGCGAAACAAATTACAAAACCCGAATTAAAAATTTGATGTATAATTTATCTTGTCAGCGTGTCATATGAGGACCTGCGGGAACGTTATCTACAATTCTCGGTCTATGATTTTGATCGCTTTTCACGTCACGATCTCATTGGACAAGTAGTTCTTAAAGGACTCTTAGATTGCACCGACCTTGAACAAGAAATTGAATATACGATGGACATTCTCTGCGCCTTGCAGGTAATTTTATTTGTTATGAGATAAACGCTTGATTATTCTAAAGCAATTACTTAGTTTCGTAGTGAAAACTTTATAACTTTAACTTTTAATATTATTTACAGGAGAAAGTAGATCTAGGAGAATTGATGTTATCTTTGTGCTATCTACCAACGGCCGGTCGGTTGACATTAACCGTGATCAAAGCCAGGAATCTTAAAGCGATGGATATAACGGGCAAATCAGGTGCTTACAAAATCAAATAAAATCAGATATTTTTTGCAACATTATTGATAAAATATTTCTTATCAAAAATTTAATATGATTATTAAATTAATTATTTTTTCTTTCTAATTAAGAAAAATATACTTTATTAACTGATTATATATATAACTTTGTTTCATTTTTTCGTTAGATCCTTACGTGAAAGTCTATCTGCTATGCCAAGGTAAAAGAATTAAGAAAAAAAAGACAACGGTAAAGAAGAATACTCTTTATCCCATCTACAATGAGGCACTTGTCTTCGATGTACCCGCGGACAACATCGAGGACGTCAGTCTTATAGTGAAAGTAATCGATTACGATAGGTAAGAGAAAATTTCCAGCACATTATATAGAATTTTTAAATAAGAAAGTAAATTTTTTCTCTCTTTCCGTGCAAATTTAATAATTTAACCACACTAGAATTGGTTCGAATGAATTGATGGGTTGTACGGCAATTGGATCGAGCTTCATCGGAATCGGCCGAGATCACTGGCTAGAGATGTTGGATAATCCGAGAAAACCGGTAGCACAATGGTACCCGTTGACGGAGACCGTGTCTGGCCATATTCCAGCCATGGATTCGGATGCACTTCCAGTTAGCTTGAGCTGCTTAAACAGGTAGGTGAGTTAATTAAATCTCATCTGCGTTATTGTAGTTAATTAAATTATTTGAATCTCGTCTCTTTTCTTAATAGAAATAGGGATTTCAATTCTTTCACAATAAGATCATAAAACTTCTATTGTTCTATTGTTATTGAAAGATTATGACAAAGCTTGCATTGCAGATGAAGACAAGAGGCGGAAAGTAAACACTGCGGAAGCTCGCAAATATTGTCGGACGTCGGCTTGGACATTGTTTCCTTCTGTCGTCATTTAATGCACATCGCTTGACTGACTTAAGTACAATCTCTGTCTCAAAGGGCCGGAAGGCGAATTCTGTGCTTTGTAACCTTACCTCGTGCAGCAGGCATGAAATAATAAACGATCCAATGTAGTAGAAAGCTCGATCTTTCGCGAAACATACGTTGCTCAATTCCAACGATCTAATGGTGATCGTGAATGGAAACGAGATCGATTTGCATTTTGCTTTGTCTTTCTATCGAGATAATATGCTGCTCGCGATAGAGTGCAGGCTGGTCCCGCACTATTTCAAATACAGGTTGTATTTACAATATCCCCGTAGAATTTTCCTGTCATACGTGATGTTGAGCATGACGATAGCTTAAATGTTTTTAGATTAATAAGAAATCAGATATACATATACATAAGTTTTTATAGAAGATACATATAAACGCATGGAATATAAGGCCTTACCCTCGATAAAGGCGAGACCGAACAAGTGCGGGCAAGATTTAGAGACGACAGATCATTAGCTGGATTAGCAGCGGAGTACAATTGAATACCGATAGTATTTCTAAGATAGTACAGATACTGAACGCGCCCGTTGGATCTCTATACATATACATGCATCGTTTATTATTTCACGCTCGCTAGAATTTCTGCGCAAATGTTCTATTAACGTGATACATGTTTAGATATAATGCCCGACAACGGGCACTATTTGTGATAATGTATCTGAACACTGGCGTATACACATACACGTATAAGCAACATATGTAACGTGATTTTGGCATCATGTATATCAGTAGTCGCTTCGTACACGCATGTACGTTTGTAATTGATGCGACTATTCGATTGTGAACCTGATAATAAATAATAATATACATTTAGATTGTATAAGGAATTATATATGTTAAGAAGAAAAAAGAGAACAAGAACGCGCGCGATGCACACAAAGTACTCTTATAATTTGATATATTATAAATATATCATTTATGTGTATACGTACGTTTAAAAATATAATCAAAATAATTCTATAAAGATTTAATATAGATAAATTCCAGCGAGAAATCTATTTAATTTCTTTGAGAATTGCATTTGTGATCAGATTTGCGAATTTAACAATTGTACTTTAATATATTTTTAAGTACATTTATTTGATGACATATACGTAGGATGTATACAGGAAAGAATCTGAATATTATGAAATATGGGCGTTTCTGGAAAATGGCTGAGTATAAATAAATTGAAAATTGGATGAGTCAATTTTTTAATAAGTGGCGAAATAAAGATTTGATTTGTGTACAACATATTTACATTCTTTTGATTGATTGAAATATTAAAGTGTGTCTATGAATTTAAATTTAATCAAACTATTGTCAATCGCATAAAAAAATTGAGAGATATAAGTTATATCACGGAAAAAGTATACGTAATATTTACATATATAGAATTATATATTATACAAACTGTATAGATAAAAATTATATCAAAACTGGTGATATATTTCGAGTGACATATATTGACTAATGGAAAATGTGCCAACAAAAAATAACGATGTAGTATGATTAAAAACAGCAGTAGTATGATTAAAAGTAATACGTTCTCCAATCACACACGCTTAAAATAGAAACTTTAGTCTGCTCGCTATAGTGATCCTAGAGTATCCTACTATAACTATATTTCGAGTCAATATACTTCCGACTATATGGCTGCCTGTAAGTCGTAAGGAACATCTTTCCAAATCCTCACCCCAGAAAATTTTCCATTTACTCCATTGTTCCAGCGATGCCCATGAAGATAAAAAAATAAAAAAAGAAAAAAAAAGAAAACGTACTGTATTTTTCGTACAAGTGGGTCACTCTATACCACAGGACTGAGCTTTCTCAAATAAATTTCATGTAGTAAGTGAATTCAGTCGCTTCATATTGAAAGTAGCGCTTAAACAAGTCCAAGAAACAAGAACGCGATGTAAAATGTGAACTCCCAATGCTAATGCTGTTATAAATTATTTAAATCTCTCCCGGATACGATGCTAAAGTAAGCTTTTGTTCAGTTTTCATTACGTAAGCTTTAGTGAAAAATGTGCTTTTTATTTGCTTCAAATACGAACGACTTATAATTTATAAAAAAGGAAATGTATGCGAACTCTTTCTTCCTGCTGGATTATAAAATAATAAATACATATCTTTCATGACTCTAGAAATATGCACAAAATAAATTATATATATAAACGAATGCATGTATATTGGTAATTATTAATTTGATATAATTATTTAAATTGGTGAGAATATGTACTTTGTTTAAAACCTACTCTAATTATGAACGCGATTGTGTTCGCATACATGTAGTTAATTTATGGGCAAATAACAATAATACCGATATAGATGATGTGTATACTTTTCTAACGAGTACATATCTACATTGTATATTTGAGCACGCAGTGCTCTCTGTTATGTTCGTGAATGACACAAATAAATCATAACAAGGCAGAGATCATTATGTTCCATTCTTACCCCTTATATGTATATGCGTAATTCATTTTCAATAATATTAAATTATATAATTAAAATATCGAGTTTTTTTGGTCAAAGTTATAAAGAAAAAGGATCGTCTGCAACATCAAATGTACTTTTCATTTATTTGACTACTTATCTTTACAGATTATTCTAGCTTATGCTAAGATACAACTTTCCCATTATGTTATCTCTATAATCGAAACATTACAATACTTCTAAGTATAAAATAAGCGATAGAGCTTATACTGTTATGTAGCAACGAGACTTAAGTATTTCTCTACCTAGTAGTACTTCTTAAAAGTGGCGGGAATAAATCTGTACCGTGTATATCCCGTCAACGACGAGGTTGATCGTCGATGCCCGTGATTACGTGATTTGGCTTCGTCGGAAATCATACGAGACAAAGTGTCGAGACTTTTTCGACGGTGCGCCCCGGCCATCCTGCATTCACCGATCGAGCATCGAACCGTCACGGAAATCACGCTTTTTAACTTTGACGGCAAAACAATCTTAGGCCTCTAATTACAATCTCCGTTCACGAACGCAATCGATTGGTCGTACTTTCGCTGCGTGCGTGTGTCTCCAAAAATTTGGGATGACAAAAACGTTCACCGTCGAAATGGTCCGTGTATCGGCAGGAGGCTCGATCCTGACGAGATGTAATCGCGCGTTAATGAAGAGCTCAACCATGATTCGCGCGGCGCGGATGGGGCGCAAAAGTTAGATCGTGTCGCTTGTTCGGAATCGGAAAAACGAGTTAACGGTGCTTATAAAACATTATTCGGCACAAACGATATACGGCGAGCCTCCATTGGATCCGCGCGATCGAGGTTGCTCCAATTTTCACGGCTACAATGTATATTGACTATTCGTGTGTGTAACGTAAAAAAAAAATGATCATACATAACAGAAGCTTTTTCGATTGATTTTACACACTTTCTCGTGAGAACCGAGATGTCGATTTACCATTCAGTTGAGCTTCTTTGCTATGGCTTTTACGTCGACTACTTTCTCCCTCTCGCTCCCGCGTCACTCTTAACAGTCTCTTTTGAGAGGCTTAAACCAGACTTAGGTAGATAATACGAGCCTAATAAGTAAGCGCTTAATTGTTATATCCATGTCGCGTGTGTTTTGCAGCGTCGTTCATCTCTCGTTTCCAGCCCGTGATTACGCTTATAAAACATTAAAGACGCATCGATTAATCTAGATGTAAGTACTTCTCTATGGGCAGCTCGCGGCATATGTGAACGAACCGGATAAAACTTTACACAGTTCCTCGCGCCTTTCTCATAATAGTAATGTGGGTAAGTAAATTATTATCACTTAACACGCAAACATTAAGAGCCTTATCCGACGAATATACAAATCTATGCTCCTGTATAGATAATCGTTAATATTAAGTACGTTAATGTGTGACCACACAATCGTTTAATAATAAGAATATTAATAATAATATAATGACAATAAATCATAATAATAATATAGGCAAACTCTTGTAGCGTTGTACTTAGCGTTATTTAAAATATTTAGCAATATTTTTTTTTTATGTACTGAAATGTTCAAGTACGCGGACAGAAATCGATCTGAGTTAACTTTTTTTATGTATATTAGCAATATGGAGGGAATTCACTAACAACTTGCTTAAAGAGTGCAGCACATTCTCACACATCTATAAACAAATATAAAAATTCTTCTTATGCAATTTCTTGTTACTCCGATGCATTCTCACCCATTACATTGTCTTCGCGCTCATTGATTAATACGAAACTGGGTGCTGCTTAGTCGAACACATCGTACTCGCGAACACGTGTCACTGCTTTTTTTAAATTTGACTGTATCTATGAACAAGGAGCGGTTTGCCAATTTTGCTTCTTTCTTCCTTAGTTTAATTAATTCGAATACATGGACAAATGCAATTGTAAATCGGCAAAAAGCAGAAAATGCAGTTTGAATGTCCTGTGCTTCTCTTTCTCGTTTATAATCGTATTTCATAGCGAAAATAAAATGTCGGTAGAGAGTACGCGCCTATACATCAATACATGTAAACATTTAAATGCGTGACAGAAATTTTTTTTCACATGTATGCGACAGAGTTAGTGATATTATTGAAAGCACTCAGACACAACCCTCAACCCTTGGCTTCTTGTCCCTTTCGTTCTATTCTTTGATTGCCATCTTTCTTGTTCATTCATTTTATTTTCTCGCGCGAACAAAATCAACGGAACAGTACTAACAATCATGCAAAAGCACGCCCATAACGAGAGTGGCAATACACCATTATTAACACGTTGCACACGTAACATTCTCCTATACGATTAAAAATTGTACGATTATCGGTTGTGCAAGCAAATTGCCACCTGATCGTCCGGTGCACACAGCAGG